TGCTAACTGGTATGCATTATTCACATGAACTCGTCAAGTCTTACTTGCGCACTTTGTACTCGTCCGATTATATCAACTAGCAATGTACGATCGTGCAGTTCGTGCAGGAAGTGAGTATCTATTTTTTCACTTCATATGTAACTTAGGAATTTGCCAGTAGCATTATACTTGCATATTGGTTTAAAGAAATATTTTACAACCTTTGGATAATCCTGTGTTTGTTACCACCGAATTATGGCTAAAAAAGTTAAATTTTCGTCAGCTATAATTGTGGTATCCGGAAAGGGATTAATTTATAGATTTACACATTCGGATTGTGACTCGGAATCATTGAATGCAAATACGGTGGAAACGGAATATGTCTGTCCGACGTGCCGTAATTCGCCGTTGGTTGCGGATGCAATGATGATATCAGCCGGAAATAGTTCCGTTGCGGCATCACCAACCTCTATCTCTACGCATGATGAAGCATCGCGTAGCATTCCGCTTGACAACTCGTATTGCATAGATTCACCTAATAGGAACAGTCCGTTGATGTCATTATCTCAGTTGGATACTTTCGGCGACTTTTTCAACATTCATCAATCTACAGGTATATTAATACACTGGTAACTCTATTTCTACAATGTACGATCCAGAGTTCTTATCAACCTGATTACTTCAAATTGTTTTAGAATTATGTCGCAAGACAATCACTGAAACTGTTCTGCTTTACTACAGTAATTGTGAATTAAATGTGTGACAGTCGGGATGAAATATAATGGGTTAAGGATATTGACGGAAATTTTTCTTACTAAAATTAAATGCTAATATTATCTGAAATTGTAGGACAAGTTCCATCAATGTCTCCATCTGGATCTACCGCATTGAGTGGACCAATGTCTTCTTGTAGAGCTTCTCCCGGCTCGTTTCCTGAATTTAGTAATACTGGCGATGCAACTGATGAGCTGCGATTCAATTCCAGGTTGTGGTTTCAAATCTTCCAACTCATTCACAATAATTTTACATTGACATTTAAGACGAATATGAAGTGCAGTATTTAAAAAGATAATGAAATACACTCATCTTTGAAACTTTTAGAAAAGAACGAAGTGATAATTCTTGCACCTTCAATCGAACATCGCGTGGTGGTGGAGTGAAAAAGCCCTGCGGTCGTGGAGTAACGCCGAGAACACGTTCGCTTGGTGGATTAAATGATTCTCCAGAAGTAACTCATTCGCATCGAGGAAAACGAGGTGGAAGAGGTGGTAATAAAAATGGCAGAGGGCGTAGACCAAGGTTATACTTTGAATAAATACATATCAGAGGTTTGTCAGAGATGCTAAGAAAATACCAATACTTAAGTAGAATTGATTGAAATTTAAAAGTTTTGTAATTCTTCAGTACATACACTAAATTTAAATCCGATAACTTTCTACTGCACGTAAGCATTTTAAAAACAAATTTTACTCATAGAATATAATGAATTATGCCAGTTATTCTTTTTACGTTATAGAACAACATCAATATATATTTTTTTTAGAGGCGGTAAGACCTCAGCAATGTTGGCAATGGTTAACGCGGCAGCAGCTAATCGAGATGCAGATCAAGAAAGTTCGGAAATAGATGATACGCGACACCGTATGGAAGAGAATGATTACATCAGGACAGTGGTTGTAACATGTGCTGAGAACTCTTACTTCTTGCAGATGCCCTTATGTTTAATTTGTGGTAGCATTGGAAAAGATGCTGAAGGAACGATGGTCACATGTGCGACTTGTTCTCAAAGTTATCATACATATTGTGTGGGATTACATGATAAAGTATGTCTTGATATCAAATTTTGCACTACTGGGGGTTTAGGTTTATCCTACATTTAATAGCGAAATGTAACAAGTGCATTGAGCTTGATATGTTGTGATGGTTTGCTTCAAAAGGGTATTATTTGATCCGTAAAATTCTTTTTTTATATCGTTCTTACTACCAAGATATGTGTACTGTTCCCCCAGGATATCTCATAAAGAAGACTTAATATTATTCCTAGAGAAAAACTTAATATTATTCTTTATTTTCTTTTTTTGAAAAAATTTTTCATAGTATGTGATTCTATTTTTTTAGCTCAATTTCACAATAGTAAGAAGAGGATGGCGTTGCTTGGATTGCACAGTTTGTGAAGGATGCGGTGATGGACATGACGAATCCAACTTGATTTTGTGTGATGAATGTGATATTTCATACCATATTTACTGTTTGGAACCACCTCTTGAGCGAATTCCACATGGACCGTGGAGATGTAGATGGTATTTGGCAGTTTTTTTTTTTCAGTTTTTGAAAATGTTGCATAATAGTCTTGTTTGTTAATAAACGCAGTCTCCTATCAAGAGTGGCTTTCTTTAGGTGTTCAGCCTGTCGGCGTTGCGGGAACCAAATATCCAACGTTGCGGATAATCAGCACTTCTGTGAAACCTGCTTCACGCTTCGGAGGTGTCCTAAGTGTTTGCGATTTTACGAAATTGGTGATAACATTATTAAATGTCAACATTGCGCAAGGTATGCCAGTAATATTTTTTATTCTGTTATCCAAAAAAATAATGCATTCATTACCAAATTTGAATTTTTATTCAATTTTTTCTGGATAAAATATTCCCTTGGGATGGCACAGTGATTATGATGAGATGAATGAATGAATAAATTAGCGTATTATGTGATTATATTATGAGTTGCTTAAAAAGAATTGGTTAATATAATATCCAGCTTGGTTATATTTAAGTTGAATAAATATGATAAGCTATATTTAGGTGGCTACATGGCAAATGTGAAGAAGTGTACGGTGATGAGATGTTTGAAACTGCATCAGAAAATGGGTTCCGTTGCTCGCTGTGTCGCCCACAAGGTAATGCAGGTAGCGACGTTTTTAACGTTTTGGTCTGTGATAATGTGACGATGAACAAATGCGCACTGGAAGTATTGCATTCACGTTTTGGTGGAACACTCTTTCGCTATCCCAGCTCCACTGATGCTGTCTACGATTTCCCATCATATTTCTTCGCACCGAGATCTCATTCATTTGAAGGTTGAGGCCTTTTAAATTCAGCTTTTTTCCATATTATTAAGATTTTCTAAGTTGATTTTTTTCAGTACTTGTAATACGTCAGTGGCTAGGCGATGTCGAACTATGGATTAACATTTGAAGTAATTTTTGAAAACAGTGATAAATTTCAACAAAGTAAGAGAGTTCTGAACGGTAACGGATAGTAGTGGCTTATGGCAGCTTAATAGAATTTTTTACGTAGGGGTTTCTGAAATTTCTTTTAGCAAGTAGATATAAAACTCTGGATATGTTCCATTGGATTAGCGTATTGTTTAAATGGCTCAATAATTATCTTACAGAATTTTCAGAACCAATGGAAGAAGACGATGTGGAAAGTTCTAGCTTTGGAATGAATGTAGGAATGGGTGGTCGAGGTCGAGGAATGCGGAGCGGTGGGCCTGGTCGGCGAGTAATGAAATTGGGTGTCGGCGGATTTTTTGTAAAGGTATTTCTATTTTATATAATTACCGATTTTTATCTTTGCGTTTTCAGTTTACTTTCATCTCATGGTAATATGGTTTGAGCAGGTACCTCGTCATCGCTTATCAAATGCCGAAGACGAAAATGGTGTAGAAGAGGATTCAGCAAAACCAAAAATAAAACGCTTTCGAAAACCGAGGAGATCGCAGCTGGAAGATAATTATCCGCCAGTTATTCAAGTGAATTCAATAATATATTTCTTAATTTAATAGCTTCCTATTACGAATTATAATCTTCACTCTTGATTAGTGTCCGCATTTCATCACTGTTCGATCATATTTTGCGGAAATGTGCAGTTATAAACAAAAGTCATACTCTTCACGAAAAAACAAAGTGAGTGGTAATAGGGGTGTAAATTGTGTTTCCAGGAAAGTTTTTTTGGTATGAGGCCAGTTGAGGGAAGATGTTTGTTAGATGTTGTGGTAGATGAACCGACTTTGGTAGAGCATCAAAAAGCGGCTTTGATCATCGATAAGCAAAAAGAAGCCTGTGAATTGAACGAAATGGATTCTGAGGTTGTTAATATTTCAGAGTGTATTGTAGACATCTATTTTTTAATTAATTGTAATCAATCTTGCATGGATCTTAGTAATATTAAAAAAAATTGGAATCAAGGAACAAATTTTTGTGTTTGTTCAATGTTTGCCTTTAAATTAAGTTATATTCAAACTTTAGGCCTTACGTGAAAGTGAGAGCCTTTTGGGCAATATAACGGAGAATGACATTCTTGGTAATATGGAAGAAATTGATTTTGATAATTTGGATTTAAATGAGCTACTGCTTGATGGTGATGAGGATGATGATGATGATGAAACATTGGAAAATGCAATGAGTGGTATTATTTGAAACTATGTTTATTTAGTTTTTATTAATCAAATACAACTTTTGATTTCTTTTTTCACTATACTTATCCTTATACTGAGCAAAATCTCCGTTGAGGATGAAGATAGTCGTCAAGGATGAGAACTGTTTTGTAATCAGTAAAAAAAAGTAAACAGTCTTTTGCTCTGATGTCCTACCACTTATAATTTCTTATCCATCTGGAAATAGATATTGAATTTATTCATTATAAAATTCGGTTCATACAGTTCTTTCGACAACTCAATTAGTAATCAGTAAGCAGTTTTTGGCATGATTGCAACAATCTGTTTAACAAATGCTCTCTTAGAGTACGATGAAATGTAATTTGTTTGAGGTATTTTATGTAGCTAACGGTAAAAGAAGAATCGGGAAGAATGTTAAGAACTTATGAATTAATTTCTTTATCAAAAATCCTCCGTACTACCCTGCATTTAAGTTGCTTCAAGTTTAGTTAATTTTATAATAAATGTTTCAGATAGAATGGGACCTTGCAGCGAAGATGGTCAAATAACTGTTAGCCCTCATGGTGGTCCTGTGCGATCTCAGACTTTATGCTCAGGACAGCAGGTATTGCTTCTGCACTTTCTACAAAAAAGTTTGTTTTCTCCAAAATAGAACTGTTAAACTGTTTCTCGAGGGAAGGTGGCAATCAGAATTTGCTGTTATTTGAAACTGTATTCTACAACTGTACGTTATTTTTTTATTTAGGCTCGAAGGTTTACAATCGCTTCAACAAGTAATATATCTCAAGGAAATATTCGTCAAAATGTACACGCGCATAGTTACAATCAAAGTGGTATCTGTACTCAACCCAGATCTAGTAGTCAGGTACTTTTTGTAAAGCTTAAGCGTTAATATATAGCTTACAGAGCTCAACATATAGCGTTAATATATAACTTACAGAGCTTAACATATTTAAGCTGGGTGATACTTGTACTGAAAGAGTGAATCAAGCGACAGAAAAGTGGGAAGAAGACGAACCATTAGGAGATCGCGCTACCAAAGCTGCTGTTCTTTATGCGAATATTAATTATCCGCAGTGGAAAGAGCAATATCCTGAATGGCCAGAACGTGTGAAACATATTCATCGAATGTGGAGGTCTTTGGATGCCAGCAGTAGACAACAGTATGTAAATAAAGCAAGAGAAAATCGAGCAAATAGGGTGAAGGTGAGAATGCTTCTTGTTTCAGATAGATTGTAGCTAAAGTATGATATCTCTCTAATTGCTAAAAATATATTGTAGCAGCCACGGACAAAGCGTATTCCATCGTCGACGTCAACTCCTACAGGCGTTGTTAGAGCTATCGTTGGTCCAAATCGATATGGAATGCTTTCAGGACAAGAGAATATGGTAGGATATTGCCGGTCTGAGGTAAACTTTATATTTTTTTCGAATTATCCTATTATACTTCGATTATGATTTTATGATTTGCACGTTTTATAAATCTTATGTCACGCAAAAAACAAAGTGATTTGGAAAAGTGAATTATGTGCTTTTATTAGGCGGAATATAATGAACGTTTCAAAGTTCCAACAATGCCGTATGGTGGTGGCGAATGTGTTATAAGTCAAAATACACCTGTAGGTTCCGTAGACGTCTCCACGGTTCAACCTTATGGAGCACAGCAACATTATTATCATTCAGAACAGGTGCTTTGATTTATTCATATTTTGACTTCCATTAAAAAGGAAGTTTTTATTTTTGGAAGGGAAATCGTTTTATGTTGCGCTGCCAACGTTACTTTTGTTATAAACTACTAATAAAGTCACTGCCGTATGATTAACAGTAAATGGAGTAAAGTGTACCGACCATTATCAGCAGTCGCCGATTTGTTCTCACCATTGTACCATTCATATCTTAAAACATATTAGCCATTTTCATCTTTCAGGAAGGTGGTTCATTCGCCAATGCATCTCAGCCTAAATCTGCGCCTGTTAGAAATCCGCAATCTTTGATTGCGCATTTAAGCAAGGAAGTGCTAGATAATTACAGTTTGTTGCAGAAACGAAGCAATGAGTTAGCGAAATATCAGTTGGTATGTATTTGTTGATGTCAAACTTTTCTCCATATTTTTTTCTCATCAAACAGCTCTGTCATTAGATTGCTCACATGTCTTCCATGCTGTATTTAGCATCTTCACTCACTGAAAAATTTTTTGTTCGATTAATTCCTTCCAAAGTATCGTGAAATTTTTTGCTTGAAAGGTGGTATTGTTTTCATGATATAAAAATATTGTAGTGTTACATCTTGAAGCATATTTTTAGGCAATTGAAAATGACTTGGCTCGAATGCGCAAACAGAAAAAAAATCTCACTGCAAAAAGAAGACAATTGAATAAAAACAATCAGCAGTATGATGCTCATGGACAACGCATCGAAATTGAACTAAGCGAAACTGACAGGTCTGCTTATGATTCTATGCTTTCATTTTATTTCTAACTTTGGTTAAAATAAGATGAAAAACGAATTTGTATCAGTTCAGCAGCAGCATGATGCTTCCATCGGTACTAGAGATATCAGCCAGGTGCGGAATTCGATGCGTTGATGTGAATTAATCCCATTTAGCGTTAATTTGCCAGAATAAGAATAATGTCATATTCTGATTCTTGAAGTTATTTCTGGTTCAGTATTCACAATCTTTTGCAGACATTCACTTACGACACTTGCCAATGCTATTCCGATCCGGCAAAAGGATTTAGAAAATTGTAAGCGCGACATTAAACTCCATTCTTCGAATGTTCGTGATTTTGAAGTTAAAAACAACATACCACCAGAACTAATTCCACAAATGACACCTGTTGTACAACCCGTTGGCTTACATGTAAATGCCGCGCGTACAAAACAGTTGCAAAGTGGTACACCTCCTACACCTAATGATATGATGTCTCCAAACAACGGTATTCGACCTCCACCATCATATCCAACATTTGGTATGGTAGGTAACTATCGACCTCCTCATCAAGCCGGCCCTAATCAGATGCCTGAATATAATCATTCTGGTTATGGAACAACTCAAAAAAATGAGACTGAAACTACTCAGTTGTGTTCAGGTACAAATTTTCATTTTATTTCTTTTTTAAGGGCATTGATTTTGCAGCTCTAGTTATTTTCTTTCATAAAAGTTTTAAGTTGGTTGAGATGTATTATTTTATTGAAAAAAGTAGCTAAGTACACATAGTTAATATTAATGGTTTTTGATGTTTTTAAAGATTCTCCAACACCATCTAGTGGAAGACCGGGATCATCAAGCTCAACAGAATGGCAATATCGAGGCGGAAAGGGAAAACGGAAAAAACGTGAAGATGATCGCAATGAAGAATGCAAAAGACCAGCAATGCTTGATGATGTTGCTGCTGAAACTCTTACCACACAGTTTGGACGAGATATTTATGATGTTGTAGATCGTTTGATAACGCAAGCTGTTATTATGGTCGATGGTACATATTTTCTCTAATTATGCATTTTTTTTTTTTTTTGAGAAGGTACATCAAGTTCATTTCGCATTATTCTATTCTGAATCAGCAGCTTTTATCAAAATTGTTTCAGGTGCTGAAGCTGCTCGAAAAAGCGGAATGCTGAAAAGACTTTTAGAATCACAGATGAAAAAAGAATATCCATCGCAAAGAAATTCTTTTACCGCACTAGAATTTAACAGTAGGTTTCTCTAAAGATTTAAAACATTGAAAATTCACCTAAAATCTTTAATTGGATGTTTGCAACAGGAAGAAAAATTTTACTATAGATTTATCACTTTCTTTTTTTCAGTCCCTCCAAAGCCAAAAAAGAAGCGTACTCAGCAGAAGAAAATTGGTGTTGGAAATAGTAATGAGTATGAATTATTGCTAGAACGGATTTCCACTCAACTTCGACTTTGCCCGCAACTTCCTCGAAGTGCTATTGAACCCATATCTCGCATTGGTCGTTCATCCTATGCCATGTTTGGTGTTACAGATTTACCAGATCGGATAGGTTTGTCTAATCTGTCAAATTTATTCAGTCTATTATAACTTAGAAAATAAGGAAATGACATATGTAATTTAATTCAATAAAATTATTATAATACTTTTTAACGCCGTTAGTTTTTCGATTGAACGTTAATTTGATAGACTAAGTAATCAGTTTTAACAGTTGTATCGCGAATAATTTGCATATCGATCTAGGATTACTATCTCAATTCTCTCATTGTTTTTCAGATAAGCCATCAATCAAAGGAAGCGAAATTGGTGATGTACGCCTTGTTTTTATGGGCGATTATTATACACGTCTCTTTCAGTGCCCTTTTGATGAAACTTCACTTTGTCAGACAATGTCTGATTTCGCCGCTGATATAAAACTACCAGTTTTGTACAGGTATGGTTCTATTTTTTCTGTTTTATAATTGATTTCATTATTTATGCGAGTAATTTACCACTAATAAATTACTATGCACTTCCAGAACAAGATGCGTTGCTCCAAGAGGAATACAAGAAAGGGAAAAATCTGTAAGTAAAATGCGAGCACTTTCGGTAGTTCGTCGTTCTGGCTCTCCTCCTTTACGGCAGATTTCGAGAATACCTGAATCTGTAATGCCAGAGGCACCACCAAGACATGCATTCTTCAAGGTTTGTAAAACTTTATTCATTCGCACGATCTTTTATTAATTAGTAATTCTGAAATATACTAGAGGATCTTTTTTTAAGTATTTTACAGATTTTTATTTATGAGGAAAGCACCAGTTTATTATATTTATTAGGGTTGAAAAAATATGGTAGGTGAAGTAAGAGAAGACTATATGGAGATAATGTAGTGGAAAATAATTATAGAACTTATAGATTGTTTAGACTAGATTAATTTTCGATATTATGATTTTTTGCATCAATTTATTCACTCCTTGAGTAAATTTAATTGTTAAAACAGTACTAATAGTAGGCTACTGTATGGAAGTGATATTTCTAAAATATACTTCAATTGGAAATGACGTTAATATTTTGACACCTTTAGAAAAATTTGTTTGAATACATTTCAGAAACGTGAGTTGCCCAAAAAAGTAGAGGTCAGTATTGTATTCGAAGGCTCAGAAGGTAGTCTTGATGCTGAAGTTGGTTTGAGACAGTTAATGGTTCTCCTTGGTATGGAACAGTTACCAGATTATGAGTTTGACACACCGCCTCAAACTCCTGAACCTTCAAAACGTAGGTTGTCAAAGTTATTATTTTCCGACAACTCTGTAGTGTTTTTTTTAAAATAATTCTCTCTCTAATATCTGTGATGTGGTTAAAAGATTGTGGTAACTAGTTAGAAAGAACTGATGAATTAGTATTGAGTTGAATAGTATTTCAAACATTTAAACCCTATAATTATTTATTCAGTTTAAATGAATGCTTATTTTTGAGTTGGTTGAGCAATGGCAAAGATTATGATTCGAGGGAGAACTCTATTTTCAGCATTATGATTTCTTTCAGGTGATCTTGGTGAAATCCAGAAGACGGAATCACCAGTGACCGATGACTTTACATGTCGTCATTGTGGTGCGTTGACTGATCAACCTGCTGTAAGGCAAACAGCTGGTCAGCTTGGAATTATTGATCATGAGGTTTGTTGTCCTTTTTGATATTTCTTAAATTTTTTGATATTTCATCTCATATTATATTTTTGTCTTAGCTGCTGATTACTGTTTGATTTATTTCAGCCAAAAGATGAAACGTTAGCATTCTGCTCAATGAATTGTTACTATAATTATATGGCTAATGCGAAAGCTGCGTTGTCACCAGAAGATCTTTCGGTTTTTGTTTCTTCATTTAGACCCACATTTTTCTTATTACTCATGCTTGATCAAGTTTGAAATTTTAGAGAGCAGAACGTTTTATTGGTGCTGAAACATTAGCTAAACTTCGGCAGGCAAGCGCTGATAATTTTGCTAAATATCTTCATCTCGGAAAAGTAAGTTATATCTTTGTGTGAGGTCGATCAATTGGATTTATTCTTGTGATTTGCCTCAGACATCGGAGAAATTAGCTGTTCTTCATCGTTATGCGAATGTTCTCTTTCCTTAGATTGACATTAGTTTTTGGTTAAATTTCGTAAAAGGAAAGTTTAATCCAGATAAAGTTATTCGTTCAGATTTTTTTTTTTAAATTTATATGTTGCTTTTTTACCTTTTCTTCACTACACGTTCTGCAGTTTAAGGGGCAGTTAGAATCGCCTGGAAATTCAAATATGTGTTCACCAATGAGTGACGGTCGTGTTGAGTCGGATGCGAGGAATAATATTCAGGTTTGTTTTTTCGGTATTGAGTTTCCATCCCGATTTTGATACTGCTATTAAGAAAGACCTTATATTGAAATTTTGTTATGAAATGTTATATTTAATGAATCATTGCAGATAATTCAAGCTCGAGAGCTGTCATTAATGGGTGATCAGAACGTTCAGAAGGCTATGGAGAAGAAATGGAAAGGACAGCTATGGATGCAGTATGATGCAACTATTATAGAAAGTTTCCGTGAATTATCATTTCAAGCTCGTCAGGTAGAATGTTATTTTATCATTTTCGATACATTTAATTTTAATATTTTTTCAAGCCTTTTAGAAGTGTCGTAGTGAGTTTATTATTAGCTATTAAATTCAGATTACAATCAACTGGTATTTTACAGTGAGCATTAAATTAGTTGTGGAAAGAAACAGTGAAAACTGCATTGGAATGTTTATAAAAAAAATGTTTTCAGAAACAGTTAATTGCCGATCTTCAAGCCGTTTTACGTTCGCACTGCATAGACCTTATAGAAGATAAAAGACAATGCGCATTTTGTGGGCAATTTGGAGACGGAGAATTAGATAATTGTGGAAGACTTTTGAATGCAGATGCTAACATTTGGGTTCATGTTAATTGTGCGTTATGGTCTGAAGAGGTTAATTTTACTAGTTAAAAATTTATTCGACTAGAATTGCAGAATAAAACATCTAAGCTTTTTAAAAATCGCTGCGAAATTTCAAATTTTGTATAAAATTTTGCAGGTTTATGAGACTTCTGCTGGAGCGCTTATAAATGTAGAAGATGCACTTAGACGGGCGGCAAACATAGTTTGTTCAGTTTGCCATCTCGTGGGTGCTTCATTAAGGTGCTACAAACTTAACTGTGAAAATCACTTTCATGTTTCTTGTGCCAAATCGACGAGAGGGAAATTCATGAAGGATAAGGCGAGACTTTTTATGAAAATGTGTTTTTTAGAATTTTTTATTTTTAAATCTTGTATGACTGAAATATCGAGACAATACATTTCATTCTTATGTTCAGACTTTCATTTGCGAAGAACATGATGATTATCGGAATGACTTGGTACTCGACCATTTGCAAGCTTTGCGTCGTATTTATATTGATCGTGAAGAGAATCAACTGATAGCAAAATTGTTTCATAGTGAAGCGGACCGACTAGTTTTGCGAGTAGGCAGCCTTATATTTAACCATATTGGGCAGCTGCTTCCAGAACAATTGAAAGCGTTCCATAATTCAGATCATATATTTCCGGTTAGTTTAGGTTTCTTAACTCTGTTGAATGTGTGATTTTTCAGACATAAGTTATTGGAAATTTTTAAAAGTTATTGGAAATTTTTTTTTTTGTTTTTAGATTGGATACAGTGTAAAGCGAATTTTTTGGTCATCGATTAATACAACTAATCGTACTCAATATCAGTGTACAATTTGCGATAAATCATCAGCACCAGAATTTGTAATTTCGTATGAGGATGGCCAGGAAATTCGGGAGACTTCGGCATCAGGTAGAGAGTTACTGATTATCTGTCTGTTGAGTCTAGAAGGAAATTCTTTCTTGTTTCTTCATTTTTGTTTCTCTCTACATTTTACAAATAAATATACCGTCTATTTAAGCTGCTTGGAATCATATATTAATGGAAGTAGAAAGAATACGAGATAAAGATGATGGATTATTACGTTTATTCCCAGCGAATCTTACTGGCGATAGTTTATTCGGTCTTACAGAAGCAGCTGTTTCAAAAATGACGGAGTCGGTAGGGATGGAAATTCTCTATAGCCATATGATGAATTTTATTGAGATTGCCAAATTTGCGATTAAAATTTCGAGATGTCTTGAATTGGCTGATTTCAGTTGCCGGGAGTGGATCAATTGATAACCTATACTTTCAAACATGGTGGAGTTCCTCTGATGGATTTGCCTCTAGCAGTTAATCCAAGTGGTTGTGCTAGATGTGAACCCCGATTCCGAACACTTATTAAACATCGTCGCCGTAATCAACCACCAGCGGCTACTGTTCGGGCGTCCGTTAGTACTGACGTGTTTTCACGTGACACAAGAAGTTTGTTATTTTATTCTTCGAATTTCTAATTTAAAAAATTGCTTTTTTACAATATGGATAAAAAATAGTTCACGTTGTGGACAACTTTGTTTATTTCTACTGATTTTTAAATTTGTAAAGATCTGAGTTTCTTCTAAATTATAGCACGTGGTAACAGCAGTTCATTGTCCAACGCAGTGGAAATGTCTGCGGGACGTGGGTCATGCAGTACAACATTAGATTGTTACGCTGGACGATGGGAACCTGGACAATTGAGTACAGCTTATTATTCACAATATCAGAAAATGAAAAAGGAGTGGAAAAATACTGTGTACCTAGCTCGTTCACGTATTCAAGGATTAGGATTGTATGCTTCACGAGATATCGAAATGAATTCCATGATTATCGAATATAAAGGCGAAGTTATACGTAGTGAAGTTAGTTTTTAGAAGTTGATTTTGTAGATTGAGGCTTATCTGATGCCAAAAAAAAATCGTTACGTAAGCAAGCTTTTGATTTTATCGCGTTCTTATTACTTCCCTAGAATGTTCTATCGACGTAGTTTTATTCTATAAATATATACACTGCTTTTCATTTGAAGGTCGGCGAAATGCGTGAAAAGAAGTATGAAGCACAAAATCGTGGTGTGTATATGTTTCGTATTGATGACGAAAGACTTATTGACGCAACAATGGCTGGTGGTCCAGCACGATATATCAATCATTCGTGTGATCCAAACTGCAGTACACGTTTGGTGGATTCAGGCCCATGTGGTGATGACAAAAAAATTATCATTATTGCTAATAGACCCATAAGTGCTGGGGAAGAGGTAAATATTCAAATATTTTTAAAATTTTTAAAAATTTTCACTTTTATCACATGTTTATTTCTTGCTACCAGTGCTGAACGAAACTAATTTTTTTGCCGTGTTTTGACGAAATCTAACCTATGAATTCAATTAAATAATTGACAAAAACGGTTTTTTTTCAGTTAACTTATGATTATCAGTTTGACATCGAAGATGCGGCTGATAAGATTCCTTGTTTATGCGGTGCACCGAACTGCCAAAAATGGATGAATTGATACTTCTTCTGCATTTATTTGTTGAAAAGTTTTCAATGGTTCAATTTTATAACAAATTCTCATCATATTTTTTCCATCTCTCCATTTGTGGATTGTTTAGGAATGTATAGGACAGGAGCGCATTTTATATGTTATTTGTCTGTTTTTTGTTTAGTCACATCTCGGAAGTAATTTTTAGAAGTTGTCAGGTTTGATTTGTTAGGAGAAAATCATCTGTAACTTTTTATGAAAGCATGTTGAAATTTTTAGTTCAAATGGATTTTGTCGAGACTGTGGTATAGCCTTTGACTTCCCTTAAAATTATTTATTTAAAAAGCAGCTGAAATTAGAGGAAAAAGCAGTTTTTTTATAATGATGTATGATTTGTTTTCGAGTACCTTTCTCTCATTTTTGCATTTTTAATCAAGTTTCACAATCAGCTGTAAATGCAATAGCTTGTTCTAGTTTTTCTTTTCATTAACTCAAATTGATTTTATGACAAAACTGACGAATCCCAATGTTTCTTTTACAGAATGAAAATTTTGCTATTAAACAATGTTATGTTCATTAAATTTTTGTATTTTTTAATCTCTATAATATACGGATTCGTACTGCATTCTGATTTCTATGATTACTTTGGACACAAATAAAAAAATGAATCCCATAGGTGGGATACAATTTTCTTGTACGTTCCATTGGCAGTTAGAATATCTGCAGGAATTTCTTTGGAATTTGGTTTCAGTTTAACCGATTTTTATTTCTTATCAAGTTTCCTTTCATTTCGTTTAAATTGCGTTTTCTATTTTGTATCATTTACTCTAACTTTTTTTTACTAGGATGTCTGTAAAGGTAATTAAATAGGGGAGTTTTTCATAAAGCGGGACATCCTTACAGAACCGCACAATTGATTGTTAATTCTCTACTATTTGGGATATCATAGTTTCTACATCGTCTTTCCACCATTTATATTGACAGATTCTACAGGATTTTATTATTGGAAAATCGTTTCAAAAATTTCATATTTTTTAAAATCATTTTTTCACCTTCCTCATTATTTGATTGTAGTGGATTCTCTCTACTCCAGTCTGTTATAGCATGATCCATTCTGCTGTCAGATGAGTCTTTGATGAAGTCAGCTTTTAGATTGTTGATTGAAGTAAGCTACCGATAAATGGAGCAAGAAGCGGTTTTTGATGTTGGTAATTTCGATGAACGAGATATCTCGTTGACTGAGACACCTCGGGATCCGTCGCACTACTTGCAGCAGGTCACTAATTTTTAATAGGTGTTTTTCTAAATATAGGGAAATCTTTTAATTGATTTAAGAACCTATCTGTAAATAGAATTTACTTACAATACACACGTTATGTTATCTTCTTGTGCTACTGCTAGTTGTAAATCAGGAAATATATATTAAGCAACTACATTTTAATGAAGTTAATTGTGCCGTTAGTTAAAATAGTAGTAGTGCACAATTGGAATAATAGCAATCGATTTTTTTTTGTGATCTAAAATACTGAAGAAAAAGTTGGGAAAATTCGCAACGCAAAAAAGTCCGAGAATGTTATTCAGTTTTCTGATGAAGATTCAATAAAAAATTATAAAGAAGTGAAGATCGAGTTTTAAAATGTTCGTGTATCTTCATGCAGGTTACTTTGTCGCGTGCACGTTGTCCAGAAGTAGTTGCTGCAAAGACAATTCCCTTAAAAATTGCCACTTCTGCAATAGCCGAGGATTTGTTGTTCAGCTGTGAACCGCCTTCTGAATGGTCTGTTGCCATGGTAAATTTATTATTCTTTTTTTCTTAATTCATACATTCCTGGTAGGGAAATTTAATTTTAAAAAACTTTTCTTGGAGGGGTTTTTTGCCGCGTGTTTCATTCAGTCACTGAGACTGTACTGTACTACTGAAGTATTCGGACTGTTTTGATACATGCTCACATTTCCTGAGTTTGCAATTACTATCAGACTTAATATTTTCTGAAATATTAATCGTCATTTTGTTATTATGCTTCAGAGTGATAAATTTTCAATACAACGATCCCGTATTAGTGCTCAAAAGTGGCATTGGAGGAAAACTATAACTTTTAAATGGCCAAGCTTAGTAAGTAATTCTTTTGTTAAAGTTACTTTCATAGTACAGCACAAACTTGTGTTTGTCTTTATTCAAAACTTTCATTTAAGAATTCATTAAAATTAATGGAGGAATTTCCTTTTTATTGGTGTTGCTTGATCATTGGCAGTGTTGAAAACTGACAGTTTTACATTATAGTACGTTGTCAAAATTTTCTCGAAGACTTTTTGTTTTCTGATATGACGATTAATGTAATGTACCATGCTGAAGAAAGAAATACAGAGTCAAATGTATTAAGAAAATCGACGAACCCGTCATAATTCGTTTTATTGTTTTTGATTCAGTTCCAATTTTCTGAAGCACTTTTAGAAAGATCCCGACCAGTGGCGAATATTCTGTCTGGAGGAACGGAATAGCTCATTTCCAATGAAAGCAGGAGATGTTTCACTGTTTGCGCACCATCGCGGTAATCCGCCAACATTAGGACTCGTGTTTAGTTTGTCGGAACAACAAGTCAATATTGTGATTCAATATCTTATAGATGTACGTAATTTAAATAAATTTCTTTACTAAATTAAGAAGTTGGGCTTAGAAGTCTGTGATTTAATAACCTACTGGTTAAAGGTGATGAAAAAAACATTGAGAACGGAAAAACTGTTTGGTTCCAGAAAAAAAAAGCCTTTCAAAGCGTTTTGAAAAATGTTTTTCCTTATTAGATTAACATTTTCATTCTACATTTATAAATTCTAAACTTTTATAGCACATGTGTGTGCGGAATATATATTATTTTGGTACAGAGTATGTTCATATCTCTGTTGAGAGTTACTGGATAAAAATAATTTGAGCTGATATGATTTTATGTTTTGATACATTGTGTATGGTTCAAAACAATATCATTAGACATCTGTATTGAACAAGGTAATTGCTCTTGAAAATATGCTGGTAATTGAAGATTCCGGTAATGAGGTGTGTGAAACAGCTTTGTTTTCAGGTTTTTCTTGAAGAGGGCTATACGAGAGCACTATTTGAATGGATATATGCGCTAATGTTGGTTCTTCAGAAACCGTTAACGCACGATGTATGTTCATCGATACGCCAATTGGCTAAACATTCACGTGTTTTGCGAAATACATTGAATGAAGAAACGCAAAGTGGTAGCACAATATATGATGAATTCTCATTATTTATCGCAGTTGTTGGTGTTTATTTCGAGCAATTAGATATCGCTGATCAGATCTCTTAATCTCTTATTATTAAATCTTATTTCAGTTCAAAAAAAAATGTAAAATAAGGGTTTTATATGAATATGTTTCCCGCACTTTTATTTTCACACTTTAATTCACCTAAAATCTAAATCGATGGCTTTCATACATTCTTGCGAAACATGTGCTGATTATATAATTTACAAATAGCAGCACTTCTAGTTGGATCTTTCATAAATTGTGTATAAAAGCATTCGATCTTTTGATTCTATGTAATTTGTAAATAACAAAATTGAAGGAAAAGAATGTATAGCATATGTTTATTACATTATTGAATGTAATCTAACACAAGAAATGCTTTTTTTTTCAAAATTACATAAAAATATATGCAGTATCATCGGAAGCGATATTTCTTGTTGAGGATACTTGTGTCTACTATAGGCCTTTGCTTATTTTTTCTGAAAATTTGAAAATTTCAACTACTCACTCAATTTTTTTCCCTTTGTTACAATAACATTATTAATTATATGTATTAATGTAATGAATTTCACTAATATAATATTAATAATAAATTTATGGTTGACAAAAAAAAACCCTTGACACTAATCTCTGCAAACAAAATGGGATTTAATCAATGAGAGATGACATTTTTTTGCTTTTTCAGTTTATTTAACTGATAGCATTAGTGTTTTATGTTATTGTGTATCTTCTGTTAATTTATCATTATTTTATTATTCCTAAGCGTTAACTTTAGCTAAATATGAATTCATTTTTTATACTCTGATTTTTGGAATCTCGAAATAATTCATTTCGATTCCACATATATTTTCGTCTTTTTAGCCTTTAAACAAATTTGCAAAATTATTATGAATTATGAAGAATTAAAATGAAGTATAGTAAACCCTTGTTTTAGACTTTTCGGGACTATTTTCTTTATTGGTGTTCGCTGGCATATTTGAAACATATTCTGCACCATCTATTGCTCTATCAAAATACTAAAGGCATAATTTAGTTTTTATTGAAGTATCTAATCATTCATTATAATTGGAAATTTCTTACTTTTTTTTATTATTTTATATTTAAAAATTTTTCGCATATCTTGACTAAATTCAATTATTACTTTTTTCATACTTGCTGCTATCAATTACAAATCACGATTTAAAAAAAAAACAAAGAAAAAAAAATGATTTATGGATGTAATGTTTGATGAATAGTGATAACCTCTTCGGGAAGCATATTCATCGCATATTTCTCTACTACATCTCGATTTTCCGTTTCAAGTGCTCCGTATGTACGTGCATAAATAGGTTGCATGAAGACATATTCAGCTGGATCAACATCATCTTTTGGTATTGAATTTTCTTCCATAATTTTAATTTTCCGAACCTCATCACTGAGGAAAGCATACACTGATTGAGAAGCAGTTTCTTCACTTTCTGGTTTTGTTCCCTAAATTTCGTTTATTTTCTTTTATTTTTTTTTTTTTGAATTTTTAAGTTTACAAATTTTTCTTCTAAATTTGAAATTATCAATTTTATATTTTAATGTTATACGAAACAATAGTGAAAAAACTAAAATAATCATGATTTCTTTTTTATATACATAGAATTATATTATTTTGTTATAAATGATATGGTTTTTTTTTTTTTTAATTTTCAATCAAACTATTTATTCAATTTATATTTCATTCTATATATTTTTGAGGCGAAAAAAAAAATGAAAAGTAAATAATTCGCAAACGATGAATGCATCACTTCAGTTTCTGTAACTTTTCTTCCTTCTGCAACTTTCTTTGCATTACCGTTTGTAACTTCAACATCTAATGCTTGATCATCCTTTGGCACATTCACTTCTACCGCTTCTAATTTTTCCTCCTTTATTTTTCGTTGTTGCTTACGCGATGATGGTTTCGCTACAATTGGTTGTTCTTTACGATATGTTTCCAATAATGTTTTTTGCGCTTCATGATATTGTTGTTGAAGATTAACCTGCGATCGGGATATTTTTGCCTGCTGTGTTGACTAAAAGAAAAAATGGAAATTTTGTATTCATTAATTGATTGATTGATTAAAGTAGAAAATCTCGACATAAATATTGAAAAATTATTCTTGACTTTTGAAATCAATGAATGATTAATTGATATAATTTTTATTCAATTGCAAATATACATTTAAAATATCAATCATGATGTATATTGTGCAATTTCATAGCAATTGTAACAAATTTTAAAATAATTAACAAAAAAGTAAATGAAGTAATATTTGAAAGTTAATTATGTGAAATAATCACTGAAAAAGTTAATCAATTAGGACTTAAAGATTATTTTATTATTAATCGAAATTTACACAGGTATATTATCAATATTCCGCTTTTTTCCTAACCCAATAATAAACGATTGAAATAATTTTTGGTTTTGTGTCTTTTCTCTTTTTCTTGCTACCATTTAAATTTGCATTAATTGGAACAAGAGAAAACAATGCAAAAAAAAAACAAACGAATATTAAAATTGAGAAAACAAAGTATAGTTAATCCTGAATTAATTTTGAATAAATTCGTCTTACGCAATTTACACAAATTTTCAGTAGATGTAATTTTGAAATTCTAAAACAAATATTCTATGAAGAAATGTGAAGCGCTAATCATATTGGCACATATCATTCAATAATCCTTTTAGCCTAGAAACAAAAGAAAGTAAAACGAGTAGTTTAACGACAATTTTCTTTTAAAAAATTCAAATTTTAAAATTTTACAAGAGTGAAAGTGGAAATTAAACAAAGATAGAAATAATTCTCAAATAAATACTTTCTCTTTTTCTTTTTTCGCTGATCCTTTCTTTTTTTTTATTTGTTGAGAAAGCCGAGAATCAGCATCTGTCGTCGATGCAGGACTAAGATCCTGACTTTTTGATGCTCCGGTTGATGGTGATGCTTTTCCTGACGTTGTTATTGTTGATGCTGATGATGATGATAGCGATGTTGCCAATTCTGTTGTTACTGGTTTTTTTGGTAACAATTTTTTCTTTTTTTCATAGATCGGTAACGGAATTTGCATCCGACGTGTACGTGTAAAATAAAACTGCTCATAATCGCGACAAAATTCTAGAAAATTGAATGCAGCAAAAATTGCAGAAATGATAATATATTCTAACTTAAAAGAAAAAATATCTAAAATAATCCGCATAATTTCAATTAAAATAGTGACATATATGCATGCAATGTTACAATGTGCATGATATTTCATAATACTTATAGTTTATTAATTGTAAAACTATGTAAAATTATTATGTAAAATCTGTAATATTACGTAAATATTATGTAAAATTTGCAAATTTCCCATTTTAATGTTTTTATCTCTCCTGTGCATGTGCATAATTATTCTTTTTAGCAGGCAAATTTATTCAACATTTTCCTAAAATAATTTTTTTGAAAATTTAAAATTTTAAACTTACTTGAAACAGCTTTATCGGATACGATACCTTTATTAACAAATCGCTGTATTGTAAGATAATGTATATACAAATATTGTTCTTCATTTTGAACTGCACGAGAACGTTGTGATCTAACTGACCAAATAATATCCGTAACTACTGGTACACGACATGATAATAGTGTTCTACAATTATATGTCCAATTTTTTTTAAATAAATTTAAAAAAATTTCAATTCAAATAATTCATGTAAAATAATGTCCACGAAATTTATTATTATATGGATTATTAAAATATCATTTCCATTATTTTTGACCTATAATTTTCTTTTTTTCCCCTTTTTAAATTATCCAATTTTGCCAATGATCAAACAATATAAATGAGTCAATAAATCAAAAATGTTTTCATCACTGCTTTTTTCCCTTTCAGATATTTACATAATTTGTTTATTTTTTATATTTGATATCAGCATTTTGTTGGATCAAATAATTTTTTTATTTAATGAATACTATAAAAATTTATTTTATTTTGTACAGAGTAAAATGTAATTAACAATATCTGTTAATTTTTATGATTTATAAATGTTCAAATTTCTTTTATTTTTTTCCTTAGTATGAATTTTTTTTTCAATTTTTTTCCTTAATTAACACTTTCTTTAATGATGCTAATTACATTAGCTTTTTTTAATTGCTGAAAATTCAAATTAAAATATAAATTTACCTGGAAAGTAATTCAAGTACCACTAATGTACCCGTCCGTCCAATTCCAGCTGAGCAGTGTATAACAGTTGGTGTTTTTCTAGCACGAGCTGAGCTAAGTAATGTATATGGCACTGTTAATTGGTTTGGGACAAATCTATCAGGCCACGATACCCACTGATAATGAGCAAGAGGACGTCGTGTACCACGATATGTTAGCAGTAATGCTGTACAGTGTACATCTGGATCGGTTGATCGCTTCTGTAATCATTTCAGATCAACAATTGATCACAATGGATACATTCATAATCTTTTTGATAAAAAAATTTCATTTCACTGCCAACTTATTTTATTTTATGGTCTTTTTTATATTAATTATTAGCATAAGTAAAAGATAAATGGTTTTTCAAATATTCGTAAACTAATTATCAGTAATAACAAAAGTGTTATGCCTTCAATCTATTATGAAATGGTCCGTATATTAATTATCGTTGATTACTTCAATTATTTCAATTATTTTCTCTTTTCACCACACAATGATGATTGCTATTTAAGCAGAAAAAAAAAACGAAAATTTACTTCAACAGCTTGAATTGTAATACCACAAAATGTAAGCACTTGGCCTTGGTTTAATGGCCAATATTGGGCGCACTTGTTACGATTTTCTTCGAGAGTGCGACATAGCATTATAATTAATTCAACGTTTTCTTGCCAAACCATACGCCAAAAATCACCACAAGTTTGGTTCAACGGTCCCTTTACATTATCAGCATGATTGCATTTGTTTAATCATGATAATTATAATAATAATTTATAACAATAAATGAATTAATTAATCAACAATTCGGACAAAAAAATAGAAAAATAGAACTAAGAATCACAGTAGAATAGAAATGATTGATAAAATTAAAATAAGAATGACCAAAGAAGTAAAGGGAATGATAATTAAGAATCAATACTTGTGTACAAATGAAGGGACAATTGAGAAATTCATTGTAAATCCAATTTGCATGTATGAAATCAC